GTGGGGGGTTATTATGGGGTGGTAGGGGGGCTATGATGGCATGGATGGGGGGTATGATGGGTTGGATGGGGGGGTTATTATGGGGTGGATGGGGGGTTTATTATGGGGTGGAGGGGGTTTATTATGGGGTGGAGGGGGGGGGTATCAGTGGATGGGGATTATTATGGGGTGGATGGGGGTTATTATGGGATGGAGGGGGAGTTACTATGGGATGGGGGGCTATTATGGGGGGGTTATTATGGGATGGAGGGGGAGTTATTCTGGAGTGGAGGGGGGGTTATTATGGGATGGGGGGCTATTATGGGGTGTGGGGGGATTATTATGATGTCGAGGGGGGCTTATTATGGGTACGGGTGGGGGGTTTATTTGTTGGGGGGCTATTATGGGGTGCATGCGGGGGTTATCATGGGTTGGGGTGTTATTATGGGGTGGAGGGGGGGATATTATGTGATGGAGGGGGGTTATTATGGGGTGAGGGGAGGTTATTATGGGGTGGAGGGGTGGGTTATTATGGGATGCCCCCCCATGACTCCCCATGCCCATAGGGCGGATAGATGCGGGGGTGAGCGGGGGGGGGGGGTCAATTGTAATGGGGGGGGTCCTAATGTAATGGGGGGGTTATAGGGGGCAATGTGAGAGTCCTGGGGGGGGTGTCCTAATGTAATGGAGGGGGGTCCTGGGGGGGTCCTATTGTAATGGGGGGGTCCTGGGGGGGGGGAGTTAATATAGGTGAAGTCCTGGAGGGGTCCAATATAAGGGGGGTCCTGGGGGGGGGGGGGGTGTCCTATTGTAATGGGGGGGTCCTGGGCATGTCCAATATAAAGGGGGTCCGAGGGGGCCCCAATGTAATGGGGGTCCTGGGAGGGGGTCCAAATGTAATGGGGGGGTCCTGGGGGAGGGATTCCAATGTAAGTGGGGTGCGGAGGCGTCCTATTGTAATGGGGGGTCCTGGGGGGGGGGTAATATAGGGGTAACCCTGGGGGGGTGCAATATAAGGGGGTCCTGGGGGGAAGCCCAATGTAATTGGGGGGTCCTGGGGGGGGGGGGGGAATATAATGGGGGTCCTATTGTAATTGGGGTTCCTGGGGGGGGTTAATATAGGCGGGAGTTGAGAACACCTTATATGGATGTCTGGTGGGTGTGGCCTATCGACCCCAAAGGGCGGGGCTTGAGAATCTCCTTATATGGCGGTTTTGTGGGCGTAGCCTAACTCTAAACCACTCCCAATAGGGGCGGGTTCCTATTGGGAATTGCCTTCTGTGGGCGTGACTTAAATGCTAAGCCCCGCCCCTATTGGTATCAAGCCCCACCCCTTACATGGTTTTAAGTGGGAGTGGCCTAGCGCGAAGCCTCGCCCAATAAGGGCGGAGCTGGAGGAGCTCCATATAAGGGATAAAACAGAAGGCGTGGCCCCGCCCACGGCTCGCTCTGACCCCGCCCACAGGGGCTGCCTCCGGCTCCGCCCCCTCCGCGGAGGCTCCGCCCCTTCGCGCCAATAAAGGAGCCGCAGCCGCATGAATGGGAAAGGCGTGAATGGGAAAGGCATGAATGGGAAAGAGAATGAATGGGAAAGAGAATGAATGGGAAAGAGAATGAATGGGAGATCACGTGGGGAAAAGGCAACACCCCCGGCCCCATTCATCAATCCCCTTTGGGTCACACAGGACACGTGTGAGCTTTAATGGGAGCATGGCACGGGGAGGGGGGGGGGGGGTGTTTCTTTGGGTGCCCCCTATGGATCCATAGGGTGCCGGGGGTGGGGTGGGGGGGTCCCTATGGAGCCCCCTCCCGGGGCAGCCCCCGTTGGTTGGCAGGGACCTCACCCTGCTCCAGGTCCCGGAGCAGGCGGCGCACGCGGCACAGGGCCTGCAGGAGCCCCCCCTCCTCGTCGGGGACCCCCCCTTTGTCCTCGGGGACCCCCCCTCCGCTCTCGTCATCGGCGTTCCCCCCCCCCGCCCGCAGCAGGAAGCCCCGGCTGGGCAGCAGCAGGGGGGGGTGCTCGGAGAAGCTCTCAAAGATGTCACCTGGGGGGGGACACACACATGGGTATGGGGGGGCAATGGGGATAATGGGGGGCAAGGAGGGCAATGGAGGGCAATGGGGGGCAATGGGGACAATGGGGGGGCAATGGGGGGCAAGGGGGGGCAATGGGGATAATGGGGGGCAATGGGGGCAATGTGGGGCAATGGAGGGCAATGGGGACAATGGGGGAGCAATGGGGACAATGGGGGGGCAATGGGGGGCAATGGGGACAATGGGGGGCAAGGAGGGCAATGGAGGGTAATGGGGGGCAATGGAGACAATGGGGGCAAGGGGGGGCAATGGGGACAATGGGGGGGCAATGGGGGGCAATGGGGACAATGGGGGGGCAGTGGGGACAGGTGGAAGAGGCAATTGGGAGAATGGGGGGGCAAGAGGGACACATAGTGGGGGCAATGGGGACAAAGGGGACACGTGGGGGGGCAATGGGGACAACGAGGGGGCAATGGGGACAATGGGGGGCAATGGGGCAATGGGGTCACGTGGGGAGGTAATGGGGGGAATAGGGACACGTGGGGGGCAATGGGGATACAAGGGCAGCAATGGGGACAATTAGGGAGCAATGGGGACACATGGGGAGGCAATGGGGACAGGTGGGGGCACTGGGGACAATGAGGGGGGCAGTGGGTACAGGTGGAGGGGGCAATGGGGCACAATGGGGGGCAATAGGGACACAAGGTGGGCAATGGGGACATTGAGGGGGGCAATGGGGAGAATGGGGGGGCAATGGGGCACAAGGGGGGGCAATAGGGACACAAGGTGGGTAATGGGGACATTGAGGGGGGCAATTGGGATACAAAGGGGGGCAATGGGAACACAGAGGGGGCAATTGGGGGACAAGGGGGGGAAATGGGGGGACAAGTTGGGGCAATGGGAACAATGGAAGGGGCAATGGAGATACCAAGGGGGGCAATGGGGACAATGGGGGGGCAATGGGGACAATGGGGGGCAATGGGGACACAAGGAGCGGCAATGGGGACACAACGGGGGGCAATGGGGACAATGGGGGGCAACGGGGGGACAATGGACAATGGAGGGGCAATGGGGCACAAGGGGGGGCAATGGGGAGAATGGGGGGCAATGGGGATACAAGGGGGGCAATGAGGGGCCAATGGGGACATGTGGGGGGGGCAATGGGGATAATGGCGGGGCAATGGGGACAATGGGAAGGCAATGGGGACACATGGGGGGCAATGGGGACACAAGGGGGGGCAATGGGGACACAAGGGTGGGGCAATGGGGGGGCAATGGGGACACATGGGGGGCAATGGGGACACAAGGGTGGGGCAATGGGGGGGCAATGGGGACACATGGGGGGCAATGGGGACAGTGTGGGGGGGGGGCACTGACCTGCCGTGACCTGGTCGCGCTCCTCGGGGGCGGGGCTCCAGGCGGGGGGCGGGGCCTGGCCCCCCCCAAGCTGGTAATGGCTCAGGATGTGGTGGAGCTGAGCCGGGCTCAGCCCATTGAAACCCATTGAACACCATTGAACCCCATTGAACCCCATTGAACATTGAACCCCATTGAACCCCATTGAACCCCATTGAAACCCATTGAACCCCATTGAACCCCATTGAACCCCACTGAACCCCATTGAACCCCATTGAACCCCACTGAACCCCATTGAACCCATTGAACCCCATTGAACCCCATTGAACCCCACTGAACCCCACTGAACACCATTGAACCCCATTGAACCCCATTGAACCCCATTGAACCCCACTGAACCCCACTGAACACCATTGAACACCATTGAACACCACTGAAACCCACTGAACCCCCTTGAATCCCACTGAACCCCATTGAACCCCACTGAAACCCATTGAACCCCACTGAAACCCCATTGAATGCCACTGAACCCCACTGAACCCCATCGAACCCCACTGAACTCCATTGAACCCCATTGAACCCCATTGAACCCCACTGAACCCCATTGAACCCCATTGAACACCATTGAAACCCATTGAACCCCATTGAACCCCATTGACTCCCATTGAACCCCATTGAACACCATTGAAACCCACTGAACACCATTGAACCCCATTGAACCCCATTGAACACCACTGAACCCCACTGAACCCCATTGAACCCCATTGAACCCCATTGAACCCCATTGAATCCCATTGAACCCCATTGAACCCCATTGAACCCCATTGAACCCCATTGAACCCCATTGAACCCCATTGAATCCCATTGAACCCCATTGAACCCCATTGAACACCACTGAACCCCATTGAACCCCACTGAACCCCATTGAACACCATTGAACCCCACAGAACCCCACTGAACCCCATTGAACTCCATTGAACCCCACTGAACCCCATTGAACCCCATTGAACACCACTGAACCCCACTGAACCCCATTGAACAACAATGAACCCCACTGAACCCCACTGAACCCCATTGAACCCCATTGAACCCCACTGAACCCCCTTGAATCCCACTGAACCCCATTGAACCCCACTGAAACCCATTGAACCCCACTGAACCCCCTTGAATCCCACTGAACCCCATTGAACCCCACTGAAACCCATTGAACGCCACTGAACACCACTGAGTCCCATTGAACGCTACTGAACCCCATTGAATCCCATTGAGTCCCACTGAACCACATTGAACCCCACTGAACCCCACTGAACCACATTGAACCCCATTGAACCCCACTGAACCACATTGAACCCCACTGAACCCCACTGAACCACATTGAACCCCATTGAACCCCACTGAACCCCACTGAACCACATTGAACCCCACTGAATCCCACTGAATCCCACTGAACCCCACTGAACCCCACTGAACACCATTGAACCCCACTGAACCCCATTGAGTCCCACTGAACCCCATCGAATTCCACTGAGTCCCACTGAACCCCACTGAACCCCATTGACTCCCATTGAACCCCAGAGTCCCCCAGAACCCCACTGAACCCCATTGAACCCCACTAAACCCCACTGACTCCCATTGAGTTACATTGAACCCCACTGACTCCCTCTGAACCCCATTGACTCCCATTGAACCCCATTGACTCCCATTGAGTACCAGTATATCCCATTGACTACCAGTATATCCCATTGACTCCCATTGAGTCCCATTGAACCCCATTGAACCCCATTGACTCCCACCGCATTCCCAGTGTATCCCATTGCATTCCCAGTGTATCCCAGCTCATTCCCACCTTGCTAAGGCAGGCTCTAGGGGTGCAGAGCAGGTTGGAGGCTGCCCCCCACTAACTCCCATTGAACCCCATTGACTCCCACTGAACCCCACTGGCTCCCATTGACTCCCAGTGTACCCCATCACATTCCCATTGACTCCCATTGACACCCAGTGTATCCCAGTGCATCCCAGTGCATCCCAGTGCATCCCCACCTTGCTGAGGCAGGCCCTGAGGGTGCAGAGCAGGTTGGAGGCTGCCCCCCATTGACACCCATTGACTCCCATTGACTCCCATCCCATTCCCATTGACTCCCAGTGCATCCCAGTGCATCCCCACCTTGCTGAGGCAGGCCCTGGGGGTGCAGAGCAGGTTGGAGGCTGCCCCCCATTGACTCCCACTCACTCCCACTGACTCCCATTGACTCCCATTGACTCCCAGTCCATTCCCAGCGCATCCCAGTGCATCCCCACCTTGCTGAGGCAGGCCCTGAGGGTGCAGAGCAGGTTGGAGGCTGCCCCCCCATTGACTCCCACTCACTCCCACTGACTCCCATTGACTCCCATTGACTCCCAGTCCATTCCCAGCGCATCCCAGTGCATCCCCACCTTGCTGAGGCAGGCCCTGGGGGTGCAGAGCAGGTTGGAGGCTGCCCCCAATTGACTCCCATTGACTCCCACTGACTCCCATTGACTCCCATCCCATTCCTATTGACTCCCATTGACTCCCATCCCATTCCCATTGACTCCCAGTGCATCCCAGTGCATTCCCACCTTGCTGAGGCAGGCCCTGGGGGTGCAGAGCAGGTTGGAGGCTGCCCCCCATTGACTCCCATTGAATCCCACTGACTCCCATTGACTCCCATCCCATTCCCATTGACTCCCATTGACTCCCACTCACTCCCATTGACTCCCACTCACTCCCATTGACTCCCACTGACTCCCATTGACTCCCATCCCATTCCCATTGACTCCCAGTGCATCCCCACCTTGCTGAGGCAGGCCCTGGGGGTGCAGAGCAGGTTGGAGGCTGGCCCCCCATTGACTCCCGCTCACTCCCATTGATTCCCATTGACTCCCATTGACTCCCAGTCCATTCCCATTGACTCCCAGTGCATCCCAGTGCATCCCCACCTTGCTGAGGCAGGCCCTGGGGGTGCAGAGCAGGTTGGAGGCTGCCCCCCATTGACTCCCATTGAACCCCATCGACTCATATTGAACCCCATTGATTCCCATTGAACCCCATTGATTCCCGTTAACTCCCACTGACTCTCACTGACTCCCATTAACTCCCATCCCATTCCCATTGATTCCCATTGACTCCCATCCCATTCCCATTGACTCCCATTGACTCCCATCCCATTCCCATTGACTCCCAGTGCATCCCCACCTTGCTGAGGCAGGCCCTGGGGGTGCAGAGCAGGTTTTAGGCTGCCCCCCACTGACTCCCATTGACTCCCACTGACTCCCATCCCATTCCCATTGATTCCCATTGACTCCCATCCCATTCCCATTGACTCCCAGTGCATCCCCACCTTGCTGAGGCAGGCCCTGGGGGTGCAGAGCAGGTTGGAGGCTGCCCCCAATTGACTCCCATTGACTCCCATTGACTCCCATTGAACCCCATTGACTCCCATTGACTCCCACTGACTCCCATTGACTCCCATTGACTCCCATCCCATTCCCATTGACTCCCAGTGCATCCCCACCTTGCTGAGGCAGGCCCTGGGGGTGCAGAGCAGGTTTTAGGCTGCCCCCCATTGACTCCCACTGACTCCCATCCCATTCCCATTGACTCCCATTGACTCCCATCCCATTCCCATTGATTCCCATTGACTCCCATCCCATTCCCATTGACTCCCAGTGCATCCCCACCTTGCTGAGGCAGGCCCTGGGGGTGCAGAGCAGGTTGGAGGCTGCCCCCCATTGACTCCCACAGACTCCCATCCCATTCCCATTGACTCCCATTGACTCCCATCCCATTCCCATTGATTCCCATTGACTCCCATCCCATTCCCATTGACTCCCAGTGCATCCCCACCTTGCTGAGGCAGGCCCTGGGGGTGCAGAGCAGGTTGGAGGCTGCCCCCCATTGACTCCCACAGACTCCCATCCCATTCCCATTGACTCCCATTGACTCCCATCCCATTCCCATTGATTCCCATTGACTCCCATCCCATTCCCATTGACTCCCAGTGCATCCCCACCTTGCTGAGGCAGGCCCTGGGGGTGCAGAGCAGGTTGGAGGCTGCCCCCAATTGACTCCCATTGACTCCCATTGACTCCCATTGACTCCCATTGACTCCCATTGACTCCCATTGAACCCCATTGATTCCCATTGAACCCCATTGACTCCCAGTGCATCCCCACCTTGCTGAGGCAGGCCCTGGGGGTGCAGAGCAGGTTGGAGGCTGCCGAAAGCTTCTGGAAGAACTCAGAGGCGACGTCGCCCAGCCCCATTGCGGCCACAGAGTCCAGCACCAGGTCCAGAGTGGTGCGGAGCCGCACGGCGCGGCCCCACTGGAACAGGGCGCCCCCTGCAGGGGAGGACTGAGGCTCAGCAGGGGGGTAGGGGAGGGGCTATGGGGAGGAGCCACTCCCTATAGCCCCTATAGCTCCCCATAGCCCCTATAAGCCCTATAGCCCCTATACCCCCTATAGCCCTTATGGCCCCCATACACCCTAGAGTCCCCATAGCCACTATAGCTCCTGTAGCCCCATACCCCCTATAGCCCAATACCCCCTTTAGCCGCCATACCCCCTATAGCCCCATACACCCTATAGCCCCTATGCCCCCATAGTTCCTATAGTACCTATACCTCTATAGCCCCCAGAACCCCCACACCCTCTATACCCCCATACCTCCCATACCCCCATACCCCCCTATAACCCCTATACCCCCATACCCCCCATACCGCCTATACCCCCTATGCCTCCCATAACCCCCACATGCCCTATACCCCAATACGCCCCACACCCCCCATATCCCCCATACCCCCCACATCCCCTATAGGGCCCTCACCTCTCTCCATGAGGGAGTTGAACAGGGATGCGTTGCAGAACCACATCCCTCACCCCCATACCTCCCATTCCCCCATAGACCCCAAACCCCCCATACCCCCCAAACCCCCCCCACCCCCCACACCCCCTATAGGGCCCTCACCTCTCTCCAGGAGGGAGTTGAACAGGGATGCGTTGCAGAAGAAGACCCACATCCCTCACCCCCATACCCCCCATACCTCCATAGACCCCATACCCCCCATACCCCCCACATCTCCTATAGGGCCCTCACCTCTCTCCATGAGGGAGTTGAACAGGGATGCGTTGCAGAAGAAGAACCACATCCCTCACCCCCATACCCCCCATACCCCCATAGACCCCATACCCCCCACACCCCCCACACCCCCTATGGGGCCCTCACCTCTCTCCATGAGGGAGTTGAACAGGGATGTGTTGCAGAAGAAGAACCACATCCCTCACCCCCATACCCCCCATAGACCCCATACCCCCCACACCCCCCATACCCCCCATACCCCCTATAGGGCCCTCACCTCTCTCCATGAGGGAGTTGAACAGGGATGCGTTGCAGAAGAAGAACCACATCCCTCACCCCCATACCCCCCATAGACCCCATACCCCCCACACCCCCCACAGCCCCCACATCCCCTATAGGGCCCTCACCTCTCTCCATGAGGGAGTTGAACAGGGATGCGTTGCAGAAGAAGACCCACATCCCTCACCCCCATACCCCCCATAGACCCCATACCCCCCTCACCCCCATACCCCCCACATCTCCTATAGGGCCCTCACCTCTCTCCATGAGGGAGTTGAACAGGGATGCGTTGCAGAAGAAGAACCACATCCCTCACCCCCATACCCCCCATAGACCCCATACCCCCCATACCCCCCACACCCCCCACATCTCCTATAGGGCCCTCACCTCTCTCCATGAGGGAGTTGAACAGGGATGCGTTGCAGAAGAAGAAGAGGTACCCGAAGGTCTGGGACACGAGGTCGGGGTGCAGGCGGCAGCCCCGGCTCAGCTCCAGCGCGCTCTGGAACACCCCCAGTGTGGGGCTCACCCCATCGGGGACGCGCAGCGGCTCCGGGCCCGGGCCCGCGCCCGCCTCCAGCGGCGCCGCGAACGGGTTCGCCTCCAGCAGCGCCGGCAGCGTCGCGTAAAGGCGCTGGGGGGCGATAGGGAGCGATAAGGAGCGATAGGGGGGGCGGTAGGGAGAGATAGGGGGCCATGGGGGGGGGGGATAGCGATTGAGGGGGCGATAGGAAGCGATAGGCAGCGATAGGGGGGCGATAGAGAGCGATGGGGGGCGATAGGGAGCGATAAGGAGCGATAGGGGGGGCGGTAGGGAGAGATAGGGGGCCATGGGGGGGGGGGATAGCGATTGAGGGGGATAGGAAGCGATAGGGGGGCGATAGAGAGCGATGGGGGGCGATAGGGAGAGATGGGGGACGATAGGGAGTGATGGGGGGCAATAGGGAGTGATGGGGGGGCGATAGTGATTGGTGGGGGGCAATAGAGAGTGATGGGGGGGCGATAGAGAGCGATGGGGGGCGATAGAGAGTGATGGGGGGGCGATAGAGAGCGATGGGGGGCGATAGAGAGTGATGGGGGGCGATAGGGAGCGATGGGGGGCGATAGGGAGCGATAGGGGGGCGATAGAGAGTGATGGGGGGCGATAGAGAGCGATGGGGGGGGATAGGGAGCGATAAGGAGCGATAAGGGGGGCGGTAGGGAGAGATAGGGGGCCGGGGGGGGGGGGGATAGCGATTGAGGGGACGATAGGAAGCGACAGGCAGCGATAGGGGGGCGATAGAGAGCGATGGGGGGCGATAGGGAGTGATGGGGGGATGATAGGGAGCGATGGGGGGGCGATAGTGAATGATAGGGGGGTGATAGGGGGCGATGGGGGGGCGCTGGGGCTATGGGGGCAGTTTAGGGCAGTTTTGGGTCAGTTCAGTGCAATTTTGGACCCATTTGGTGCAGTTTTGGCTCAGTTTGGGTCAGTTTTGGGTCTCTTTGGCTCAGTTTTGGGTCAGTTTGGGTCAGTTTTGGGTCTGTTTGGCTCAGGTTTGGCTCAGTTTTGGTTCTGTTTGGCTCGGTTTTGGGTCACTTTAGGCCAGTCTGGGTCAGTTTGGTGCAGTTTTGGGTCACTTTGGCTCAGTTTTGGGTCACTTTAGGCCAGTCTGGGTCAGTTTGGTGCAGTTTTGGGTCACTTTGGCTCAGGTTTGGGTCACTTTGGCTCAGTTTTGGGTCAGTTTAGGCCAGTCTGGGTCAGTTTAGTGCAGTTTTGGGTCTGTTTGGCTCAGTTTTGGGTCACTTTGGGTCAGTTTGGCTCAGTTTTAGGTCAGTTTAGGACAGTTTGGCTCCGTTTTGGGTCATTTTGGCTCAGTTTTGGGTCCATTTGGCTCACTTTTGGGTCACTTTGGCTCAGTTTTGGGTCACTTTGGCTCCGTTTTGGGTCACTTTGGCTCACTTTTGACTCACTTTGGGTCAGTTTGGCTCAGTTTTGGGTCACTTTGGGTCAGTTTTGGGTCAGTGTGGCTCCGTTTTGGGTCACTTTGGGTCCATTCGGCTCAGTTTTGGGTACGTTTGGCTCAGTTTTGGGTCACTTTGGCTCAGTTTTGGGTCACTCTGGCTCACTTTTGAGTCACTTTGGGTCAGTTTGGGTCAGTTTTGGGTCACTTTGGCTCAGTTTTGAGTCAGTTTGGGTCAGTTTTGGGTCACTTTGGGTCCGTTCGGCTCAGTTTTGGGTCCGTTTGGCTCAGTTTTGGGTCACTTTGGCTCAGTTTTGAGTCAGTTTGGGTCAGTTTTGGGTCACTTTGGGTCCGTTCGGCTCAGTTTTGAGTCCATTCGGCTCAGTTTTGGGTCCGTTTGCTCAGTTTTGGGTCCGTTTGGCTCCGTTTTGGCTCACCTTGGTCAGGTAATAGACGGTCTGCTGGAAGGTGGACATGATGACCTCATCCAGGACGCCCATGGCCTCATCGCACGTCTCCAGGTCCCTGCTGAGCTCCGGGCAGGGCCCTATGGAAGCACCCAATCAGCGCCCGCGCTCCATGGATGCACCCAATTGGATGCACCCAATCAGAGCCTCCGCTCCATGGATGCACCCAATTGGATGCACCCAATCAGCGCCTGCGCTCCATGGATGGACCCAATCAGCACCTGCGCTCCACGGAGGCACCCAATCAGCGCCTGCGCTCCATGGATGGACCCAATCAGCGCTTGCGCTCCATGGAGGCACCCAATCAACGACCATGCTCCATGGATGCACCCAATTGGATGCACCAATCAGCGCCTGCGCTCCATGGATGAGCCCAATTGGATGCACCCAATCAGCACCTGTGCTGCATGGATGCACCCAATTGGATGCACCCAATCAGCTCCTGCTCTCCATGGATGCACCCAATTGGATGCACCAATCAGCGCCTGCGCTCCATGGATGAGCCCAATTGGATGCAACCAATCAGCTCCTGCTATCCACGGATGCACCCAATTGGATGCACCCAATCAGGACCTGCGCTCCATGGATGAACCCAATTGGATGCACCCAATGAGATGCACCCAATCAACGCCTGTGCTCCATGGATGCACCCAATGGGATGCACCCAATCAGCGCCTGCGCTCCATGAATGCACCCAATCAGCACCTGCACTCCATGGATGCACCCAATTGGATGCACCCAATCAGCTCCTGCTCTCCATGGATGCACCCAATTGGATGCACCCAATCAGGACCTGCGCTCCATGAATGAACCCAATTGGATGCACCCAATGAGATGCACCCAATCAACGCCTGTGCTCCATGGATGCACCCAATGGGATGCACCCAATCAGCACCTGCGCTCCAGGGATGCACCCAATCAGCGCCTGCGCTCCATGGATGCACATAACCAGATGCACCAATCAGTGCCTGTGCTCCATGGATGCACCCAATCAGATGCACCCAATCAGCACCTGCGCTGCATGGATGCACCCAATCAGATGCACCCAATCAGCGCCCGCGCTCCATGGATGCACCCAATCAGCGCCCACGCTCCATGGATGCACCCAATCAGATACACCCAATCAGGACCTGTGCTCCATGGATGCACCCAATCAGCGCCCGTGCTCCATGGATGCACCCAATTGGATGCACCCAATCAGATGCACCCAACCAGATGCACCCAATCAGGACCTGTACTCCATGGATGCACCCAATCAGATGAACCAATCAGTGCCTGCGCTCCATGGATGCACCCAATTGGATGCACCCAATCAGCTCCTGCTCTCCATGGATGCACCCAATTGGATGCACCCAATCAGGACCTGCGCTCCATGGATGAACCCAATGAGATGCACCCAATCAACGCCTGTGCTCCATGGATGCACCCAATGGGATGCACCCAATCAGCACCTGCGCTCCAGGGATGCACCCAATCAGCGCCTGCGCTCCATGGATGCACATAACCAGATGCACCAATCAGTGCCTGTGCTCCATGGATGCACCCAATCAGATGCACCCAATCAGCACCTGCGCTGCATGGATGCACCCAATCAGATGCACCCAATCAGCGCCCGCGCTCCATGGATGCACCCAATCAGCGCCCACGCTCCATGGATGCACCCAATCAGCACCCGCGCTCCAAGGATGCACCCAATCAGATACACCCAATCAGGACCTGTGCTCCATGGATGCACCCAATCAGCGCCCGTGCTCCATGGATGCACCCAATTGGATTCACCCAATCAGATGCACCCAACCAGATGCACCCAATCAGGACCTGTACTCCAGGGATGCACCCAATCAGATGAACCAATCAGTGCCTGCGCTCCATGGATGCACCCAATTGGATGCACCCAATCAGCGCCCGCACTCCATGGATGCACCCAATTGGATGCACCCAATCAGCGCCTCCGCTCCATGGATGCACCCAATTGGATGCACCCAATCAGCGCCTGAGCTCCATGGATGGACCCAATCAGCGCCTGCGCTCCATGGATGCACCCAATCAGCGCCCTGCATTCCGGGGGGGGGGGGGGGGGGCAGCTCCCATCCCCACCCCACAGCCTTGCCCCACACTTGGGGGGCCGGGGCTCACCCTCCAGCTCCAGCTCCTTCTCCAGCTCCAGCACCCGGGCCTGGGCCAGGTTCAGCAGCTCCGTGGCGTTGGCCAACCACAGCGTGAGCGGGCGCAGGTCGGGGCCCAGCACCTCCGGCCCCTGCGCTGAGGGGTCCCCATCGCTGTGGGACAGGGGCACCCCCAGAGGGGTCAGCAATGGGGATCCCCATGGATGGGGATGGGGGCACCCCCAGAGGGGTCAGCAATGGGGACCCCTATGGATGGGGTTGGGGGCACCCCCATGGATGGGGTTGGGGGCACCCCCATGGATGGGGTTTGGGGGTCACTCACTTCTCCGGCTGCCGGTCCCCAATCTCCTTGATCTTCTCCTGCAGGAACATACCAAGATGACCCCATGGGTCCCCATCCCATGGCCCCACAGCCCCTTTACCCCCATAGCCCCCCATGTCCCTCATACCTTAACCCCATATCTCGCCATGTCCCCTACGTCTCCCCATGTCTCCCTCTTCCCACATCCTGTTCCACTATGTTCCCCTCCATTCCCATGTCGCCCATGTCCTGCATCCCATGTCCCAGATATCCCGTATCCCAGTGTCCCCATATCCCTCATCCCATCCCCCATACCCCATCCTATACCCATACCCCATACCCATATCCATTCCCATATCCCACAAACATATCCCATACACATATCCTATACGCATATCCTATATGCATATCCATCCCAATCCCTATACCCCATACCCATACTCATACCCCGTACCCATATCCCATACCCATATCCATACCCATATCCCATCACCCATACCCATGTACCATACCCCATTCCCATATCCATTCCCATATCCAATACCCATACCCCATACCCATAACCACTCCCATATCCATACCCATATCCAATACCCCATACCCACATCCATTCCCATACCCCACAAACATATCCCATACCCCATACCCATATCCATTCCCATATTCCATACCCATATCCATTCCCATACCCCATACCCATATCCATTCCCATACCCCATACCCATATCCCATACCCATATCCTATACACATACCCATATCCATTCCCATATCCCATACCCCATACCCGTATCCATACCCATATCCCATACCCCATACCCATATCCATACCCATATCCCATACCCCATTCCCATATCCCACACCCATATCCCATACCTATATCCATTCCCATATCCCATACCCCATACCCATATCCATACCTATATCCCATACCCCATACCCCATTCCCATATCCCACACCCATATCCCATACCTATATCCATTCCCATATCCCATACCCATACCCCATACCCATATCCATACCCATATCCCATACCCCATACCCCATTCCCATATCCCACACCCATATCCCATACCTATATCCATTCCCATATCCCATACCCCATACCCCATACCCATATCAATACCCATATCCCATACCCCATACCCATATCCCATACCCCATACCCATATCCTATACACATACCCAAATCCATTCCCATATCCCATACCCCATACCCATATCCATACCCATATCCCATACCCCATACCCATATCCATACCCATATCCCATACCCCATACCCCATTCCCATATCCCACACCCATATCCCATACCTATATCCATTCCTATATCCCATACCCATACCCATATCCATACCCATATCCCATACCCCATACCCCATTCCCATATCCCACACCCATATCCCATACCTATATCCATTCCCATATCCCATACCCCATACCCCATACCCATATCCATACCCATATCCCATACCCCATACCCCATTCCCATATCCCACACCCATATCCCATACCTATATCCATTCCCATATCCCATATCCCATACCCCATACCCATATCCATACCCATATCAATACCCATATCCCATACCCCATACCCATACCCCATACCCATACCCATATCCCATACCCCATACCCATACCCATATCCTATACCCCATACCCATATCCCATACCCCATACCCATACCCCATACCCATACCCCACACCCATATCCTATACCCCATACCCAGACTTCCTCCTTCACCAGCCCCGCGATCCTCGTCAGCAGCTGCGGGAGGTGCTGGGGGGGGAACGCGCTCCAGGCGTGCTCCAGGCACAGCCCCAGCAGGAAAGCGGGGGCCAGGACCCCCATCCCCTGCGGGGCCCCCCCCGCACCCCACGGCTCCCGCACGATCTCCCGCAGGAGCCGCTCCTCGTGCTCCGCCCGGTACCGCAGCGCCTCCCTCCGGCCCCTGCCGGTACTGCAGCCCTCGCAGCGCAGCGCCGGCAGCCAGGGGGGGCTCTGCTCTTCGGGACCCCCCCCCCGGGGGTCCTTATAGAGCAAGAGGAAGTGCTGCCCCAGCCCCAATAGGTCCCCGGGGTTCAATGGGGCCCGGCGGAACAAAGGGACCCCGTTATGGGTCACCGGCGCCCCCCGGTACGGCCGCACGGTGGCGGGGGCCCCTGGGGGGGCCCGCACGAGGCAGTGGCGGGGGAGGATGTCCGGGGCGTTGAGGAAGGTGTCAATGGAAGGGGGGGAGCCCTGGGGGGGGCGTTCGGGGGGGCCCCGGCGCCCGAAGATGTGCTGGGAGCGAGTCATGACGTAGAGCACGAAGTCCTGCGGGGGGGGGGGGGGAAACAAAGGGGTTGGGGGGGGCACTTAGGGGGTGTGGGGGGAGGAATGGGAAGGGGGGGGCTATGGGGTGAGGATGGAGGGGGGTATGGAAAGATGGGGGGGTTGGGGGCTAAGGAATGGGGGGGGTTGGGGACATGGATATGGGGGGGAAGAGGGGTCAATGGGGGGGCATGGGGAGAGGGGTCAGTGGGGGGGCATGGGAAAAGGGGTCAATGGGGGGCATGGGAAGAGGGGTCAATGGGGGGCATGGGAAGAGGGGTCAATGGGGGGCATGGGAAAAGGGGTCAATGGGGGGGCATGGGAAAAGGGGTCAATGGGGGGGGCATGGGAAAGGGGTCAATGGGGGGCATGGGAAGAGGGCTCAATGGGGGGCATGGGAAGAGGGCTCAATGGGGGGCATGGGAAAAGGGGTCAATGGGGGGGCATGGGAAAAGGGGTCATTGGGGGGCATGGGAAGAGGGCTCAATGGGGGGCATGGGAAAAGGGTTCAGTGGGGGGGCATGGGAAGATGGAACATTGGGGGGGGCATGGGAAAAGGGGTCAATGGGGGGGGCATGGGAAAAGGGGTCAATGGGGGGGCATGGGAAAAGGGGTCAATGGGGGGGGCATGGGAAAGGGGTCAATGGGGGGCATGGGAAGAGGGCTCAATGGGGGGCATGGGAAGAGGGCTCAATGGGGGGCATGGGAAAAGGGGTCAATGGGGGGGCATGGGAAAAGGGGTCATTGGGGGGCATGGGAAGAGGGCTCAATGGGGGGCATGGGAAAAGGGTTCAGTGGGGGGGCATGGGAAGATGGAACATTGGGGGGGGCATGGGAAAAGGGGTCAATGGGGGGGGCATGGGAAAAGGGGTCAATGGGGGGGCATGGGAAAGGGGTCAATGGGGGGCATGGGAAGAGGGCTCAATGAGGGCATGGGAAAAGGGTTCAGTGGGGGGGCATGGGAAGATGGAACATTGGGGGGGGCATGGGAAAAGGGGTCAATGGGGGGGCATGGGAAAAGGGCTCAGTGGGGGGGCATGGGAAGATGGGACATTGGTGGGGTTGAGGAAAGGAAGGGACCGGGAGGCCATGGATGGGAAGGGGACACTTTGGGGGGGTCATGAACATGGAGGGGTGGGGGGGTGGGGGGGGGTAAGGAAATGGCCCCCCCCCCCCGTTACCTGCTTGCCATAGCCCTGCAGCAGCAGGAAGTAGGGGTGATGCTGGGGGGGCTGGATGAGGCACTGCGAGAGCTGCTCCAGGCTGGCGCCGTCCCCCCCTTCCTCCTCCTCGCCCCCACCTCCGGCGGCTCCATCGGGGCCGGGGGCCGGGGGGGTCCCGTCGGGGCCGGGGGGGGCGGCGGTGGGGTCCCCCCCCGCCACGCTGAGCACGGCCTTGCGGTCCCTGCGGCGCCGCGTGCTCAGGTTCATGTCGCTGATGCTGCGGCGCAGGGAGAGGTTCTCGGAGCGCTCCTTTGGGGGGGCCGGGCCCCCCGAGGCGGCCCGCGAGCGGTTGCGCTGCAGGCGCCGGGCTTGGGATGAGCCCCCTGTGGGGAGGGGTGCGGGGGGGGGACACAGGGAGGGAGGCTGGGTAAGGGCTGTGCTTGTGTGGATATAGGGGCCACATGGGCAGCCCTATAGCCGTAGAAACGTATAGCGGCCCTATAGCCATAGACACATACAGTGTCCCTATGGCCATAGACACATATAGCGGCCCTATAGCTATAGACATGTATAGCGGCCCTATTGCCATAGACACGTATAGCAGCCCTACAGCCATAGACACGTATAGCGGCCCTATAGCTATAGACACATACAGTGTCCCTATGGCCATAGACACATATAGCAGCCCTATAGCCATAGACACGTATAGCGGCCCTATTGCCATAGACACATAGAGCAGCCCTACAGCCATAGACACGTATAGCGGCCCTATTGCCATAGACGTGTATAGCGGCCCTATAGCCGTAGACACATACAGCGTCCCTATGGCCACAGACACGTAGAGCAACCCTATAGCCACAGACACTTACAGCATCCCTATATCCATGGACATGTATAGCGGCCCCATGGCCACAGACACATATAGCGGCCCTATAGCTACAGACACATACAGCATCCCTATGGCCATAGACACATATAGCAGCCCTATGGCCATAGACACGTATAGCGGCCCTATAGCTATAGATACATATAGCAACCCTACAGCCATAAACACGTATAGCGGCCCTATGGCCATAGACACGCATAGCGGCCCTATAGCTATAGACACATACACCATCCCTATGGCCACAGACACGTATAGCAGCCCTATAGCCATAGACACGTATAGCGGCCCTATAGCCACAGACACTTACAGCATCCCTATAGCCATGGACGTGTATAGCAGCCCTATAGCTATAGACACAGCATCCCTATGGCCATGGACACGTATAGCATCTCTATAGCCATAGACACGTATAGCATCCCTATAGCCATAGACAAGTATAGCACCCCTATAGCCATAGGCACTTACAGCATCTCTATAGCCATAGACATGTAGAGCATTCCTATGGCCATAGACATACATAGCAGCCCTATAGCCATAGACCCTTACAGCATCCCTCTAGCCATGGACCAATTCAGCGGCTCTATGGCCATTGACCCATATAGTGTCCCTATAGCCATAGACACTTACAGCATCTCTATAGCCATAGACATATATAGCATCCCTATGGCCATAGACATGCATAGTGACCCTATAGCCATAGACACATATAGCGGCCCTATAGCCATAGACACATACAGCATCCCTATAGCCAGAGACACATATAGCAGCCCTACGGCCACAGACACATATAGCGTCCCCATAGCCATATGCACATATAGCATCCCTATAGCCATATATGCATACAGCGTCCGATAGCCATAAACATGTATAGCGTCCCTATAGCCATATACGCATATAGCATCCCTATAGCTATATATGCATATAGCGTCCCTAGATCTATATGAATATATAGTGTCCCTATACCCAAAGATACATATAGCGTCCCTAGATCTATATGAATGTATAGTGTCCCTATACCCCTAGACACATATAGCTTCCCTATATCCCTATACGCATATAGCACCCCTATATCTGTATATGCATAGGGTCATGATAGCTGTAGACACATTCAGTGTCCTTATGCCCATATGTGCATATAGCATCCCTATATGCATATAGTGTCCCTATACCCAGACACATATAGGGTCCCTACATCCATATAAGCATTTAGCACCCTGATATCCCTATATGCATATGGCGCTTCTATATCCACATACACATATAGTGTCCCTTTATCCACATGCACATGTAGGATCTCTATATCCACATACAGTGTCCCTATATCCATATGCACATACAGAATCCCTATAGCCATATACACATACAGTGTCCCTATATCCTTATAAAAAGAGTGTCCCTGTATCTTTATACCTAAATAGTAACTCTATATCCATACACATGTATAGCATCACTATATCCATATACACATATAGCATCCCTATACCCTTAGACGCATATAGCATTCCTATATCCATATGCACATATAGCATCCCTATATCCATATGTACCTGTAGCATCCCTATACCCATATGCACATACAGTACTCCTATAGCCATATGCACATATAACATCCCTATACCCATAGACACCTATAGCATCCCGATGTCCATACGCACATATAGCGTCCCTATACCCACAGACACCCATAGTGCTCCTATATGCATACACACATATAGCATCCCTATATCCATACGTACCTGTAGCATCCCTATACCCATATGCACATACAGTACTCCTATAGCCATATGCACATATAACATCCCTATACCCATAGACACCTATAGCATCCCGATGTCCATACGCACATATAGCGTCCCTATACCCACAGACACCCATAGTGCCCCTCTATGCATACGCACATATAGCATCCCTATACCCAGACACCTATAGCGCCCCTATATCCATGCACACCTATAGTGCCCCTATATGCATACACACCTATAGCACCCCTATAACCTTACACACATAAAGCATCCCTATATCCATGCACATCTATAGCATCCCTATATCCATACACACATACAGCATCCCTATACCCATACACAACTATAGTGCCCCTATATGCATACACACCTATAGCACCCCTATAACCTTACACACATATAGCATCCCTATATCCATACGCACATATAGCGTCCCTATACCCATACACAACTATAGTGCCCCTTTATCCATAGACACCTATAGCACCACTATATCCATACGCACCTATAGCATCCCTATATCCATATGCACATAAAGCATCCCTACACCCACAGACACCTATAGCACCCCTATATCCATACACATATATAGCACACCTATATCCATACGCATATACAGCATCCCAATATCCACACACACCTATAGCACCCCTATACTCATGGACACATATAGCACCCCTATATTGATACACACCTATTGCATCCCTATACCCACACACACCTATAGCACCCCTATACCCACACACACCTATACCACTCCTATGCCCATACACACATATAGCATCCCTATACCCATACACACCTATAGCACCCCTATACCCACACACACCTATAGCACCCCTATACCCACACACACCTATAGCACCCCTATATCGATACATACCTATTGCATCCCTATACCCACAAACACCTATAGCACCCCTATACCCACACACACCTATACCACACCTATGCCCATACACACATATAGCATCCCTATACCCATACACAACTATAGCACCCCTATACCCACACACACCTATAGCACCCCTATACCCATACACACACATAGCACCCCTATACCCCTACACACTTATAGCACCCCTATACCCACACACGCTTATAGCACCCCTATACCCACACACACATATAGCACCCCTATACCCACATACACCTATAGCACCCCTACACCCACAGACACCTATAGCACCCCTATACTCATGGACACCTATAGTACCCCTATACCTGTAGACACACCCATAGCACCCCTATACCCATACACACCTACAGCACCCCTATACCCCTACACACCTATAGCACCCCTATAACCACACACACCTATAGCACCCCTATACCCATACACACACATAGCACCCCTATACCCACACACACCTATAGCACCCCTACACCCACACACACCTATAGCACCCCTATACCCACACACCTATAGCACCCCCACACCCACACACACCTATAGCACCCCTACACCCACACACACCTATAGCACCCCTATACCCATACACACCTATAGCACCCCTATACCCACACACACCTATAGCACCCCTATACCCCTACACACCTATAGCACCCCTATACCCACACACACCTATAGCACCCCTATACCCACACACACCTATAGCACCCCTACACCCACACACACCTACAGCACCCCTATACCCCTACACACCTATAACAGCCCTATACCCACACACACCTATAGCACCCCTATACCCACACACACCTACAGCACCCCTATACTCACACACACCTATAGCACCCCTATACCCACACACACCTATAGCACCCCTACACATACACACACACACCTATAGCACACACCTATAGCACCCCACCCACACACACATAGCACCCCTACACCCACACACACCTATAGCACCCCTATACCCACACACACCTATAGCACCCCTATACCCACACACACCTATAGCACCCCTACACCCACACACACCTATAGCACCCCTATACCCACACACACCTATAGCACCCCTATACCCACACACACCTATAGCACCCCTACACCCACACACACCTATAGCACCCCTATACCCACACACACCTATAGCACCCCTACACCCACACACACCTATAGCACCCCTATACCCACACACACCTATAGCACCCCTATACCCACACACACCTATAGCACCCCTATACCCACACACACCTATAGCACCCCTATACCCACACACACCTATAGCACCCCTATACCCACACACACCTATAGCACCCCTATACCCACACACACCTACAGCACCCCTATACTCACACACACCTATAGCACCCCTATACCCACACACACCTATAGCACCCCTATACCCATACACACACATAGCACCCCTATACCCATACACACCTATAGCACCCCTACACCCACACACACCTATAGCACCCCTATAGCACCCCAACACCCACACACACCTATAGCACCCCTATAC